TGGAGTTCAGATTGCGAGAGCAACAAGGGGGAGAACAAACAAAAGGGGGCGGACGCATTGAGCGGGTCTGCGCCTCGTACCACGTCCAATTATTTGTCGTAAATGTGAACCTCTCCGGGTGGGATGAATTCTGCTGTATAACGCAAGAAAAGATGTAACGAATATTTCCGTACTGCGCTGGCTGGTGGTTGAAGCTCTCGGCCACAATAGAACGAAAATGAGATGACCAAAATAGTGTTGCGGCGTCGGCTTGGCGAGGATAAAAAGTGACATATCGAAATGGAGCATTCGGACGCTGGGAATCAAACCCAGTTCTCCCGCATTGAGATCATCAAGTACGACGAGGGGGTGTGTAATACGTACTAAATCCGTTTATTTGGTATAGATGTGAACTTGCCTGGGTGGGATGCAATTCCGCTGTACCAAATATAGGGTTGGTGAGCGTACCGAAGATATTTACATGCTACGCTGGCCCCGCTGGTCCCGCTGGCCCCGCTGGCCCGCTGGTTCGAGCTCAATCACTTCGATGCACCAGAGGGAGGAAGTTGAACACCGAGCGGTGAGATATTTCTAGGATGAACATGAAGAGGCTGAAGAATGTTCAGGGTTGACGCGAGGAGAGAAAAAGAGCTTGTGCCTTAGGTACCATTCGGACGCTGGGAGTCGGACTCAGTTCTCCCCTCGACGCATTCAGAGAATTCGAGGGTGTCACGATGCGAAGAGCGGGTGTGCTTCATGCACCACGTCCGATTATTTTCACGGATGCGACCTAGATTTGGTGAGATGAATTTCAGTGGTACCTTGTGTTTTTGAGGTCGGTGGGCCCACCTAAAATATTTGCGTCGAGAGCCTGCAGGTGCAGTTCATGATCAACCACAATATCTTTTCATGGCACTAGAGCAACGTTAGAGCAAGTAATGACACCGGGTGGGGTTGTATTTGGTATTCTCGGAGGAAAAAAGATTTTATCATATCTTCGCATTCAGACGCACACCCAGGATGGGAACCTTTTAAGGTCGCTTAAAAGACCTATGGAAAGAATGTGTATTCGTAGTCTAATATATCTTGATTGATTTAACGAGATTCAATGAAGTAAGAAAGGATTACAGACACAACTAGAATTCATAGGCCTTTTCGACTTGATTGATTTCTATCTTATTCACCATGTAAGAAAGGTGTCTGAAAAGAACATCAATCAGGTGCCAAATCAACCATATTTGATTTCTGGGGTATCGACTATACATAAAAGCACATTGTAAAGTACATGTTTTAGGCCAATGAGGGATTTTTGCTATTTGTCCGGCATTTTCCGATCCAATAGCAAAAATCCCTCATTGGCCTAAAACATGTACTTTACAATGTGCTTTTATGTACCGTCGATACCCCAAAAATCAAATATGGTTGATTTGGCACCTGATTGATGTTCTTTTCAGACACCTTTCTTACATGGTGAATAAGATAGAAATCAATCAAGTTGAAAAGACCTATGAATTCTAGTTGTGTCTGTAATCCTTTCTTACTTCATTGAATCTCGCTAAATCAATCAAGATATATTAGACTACAAATACACATTCTTTCCATACATCTTTTAAGCGACCTTAAAAGGTTCCCATCCTGGGTGTGGACGCTGGAAGTCGGACCCAGATCTCCTGCCTCATTTCGCTCGTCGCCGGTACACAAAGGGCGAGTGTGCGTCGCATGGGAATTTCGTTAGACTGGGGGGGTACTCGTATACCCACACATGCAGTCAACTTCAACCTTGACTTGCATGCTGGAGGTGCTTCGGTGAAAAATCAAATCGCATTCAGGCCAACATTAATATTCGATCGCGAGCAAGAACCCGCAGAAAGAAGAATGGGTCGACGAATTCGGACGCTGGGAGTCGAACCCAGATCTCCCGCCTTATTTCGTTTCCCATTTCCCCTGCAGTAAGGGCGGGCGGGCGTGCGCAGATGGGAAGTTGGTCGGACTGCGTCGATTCTGGTAAGAGGGGGTACTCGCACCCACACATACAGTCAACTTCAACCTCGACTTGAATGCTGGAGAGGCGTCGGCGAAAAACCAAAATCAGGCCAACATTGTATCGCGAACAAGAACCCCCAAAAAGATGGCTGGACGAACGTATTCGGACGCTGGGAGTCGAACCCAGCCCTCCCGCCTCATTCCTTCTATAATGAAGTCAATTATTGAGAGCGGGTGTGTACCGTGCACCAGGTCCGATTATTCATACCGCGCTGGGTAGGATGAATATTAATCTCGTTCGACTACACAAAGGTGGAGGATATTTTCGTAGAGGGTTGGAGTTGACGAAGAGTAGGCGGATCCGATATACGCAGGGTGTGAATTTATTACAAGACAGCCGCATCATAAGGACCCTCGAATTGAGGAGAATATTCAGAACGGCGAAAAGAATGAATATAATCATATCGCAAAAACGTACCTTTATTCACCTGCCTTGGCCTCGGACGAAACACGACGAATGCAAATGCAAGACATATAATATAGACGCGGAGAAATAGAGATACATGCGGTAGAGGTTTGCGGAGAATAGTTATGTGAAGGTGCGTGGGTGTCGTAAGGATGTGGGGGTGGGTGGGGGCAAGGGAAGCTGAGAATCAATACGAATCGCTCCTCCGCGGCGTCTTCCTCCCCCCGAATCCAAACACTCGTTTCAGCAACGGCACCTCCCTGTTCGGGCTCCGCACCGGCTGCGGCTGTGCCATGGCCACGGGATAGACCGGGTAGTTCGGCGGGCCCACCGCGTACGTCGGGGACGGATTGTTCGGATACGCAGGCTGCGCAGCCCACGTGTATCCCGGTGGCGCGGGCATGGGCGGCGCGTACGGGTACGTGTGGGATCTGAGCGGCTGCCGGGGCGGCGGGGGCGGGGTGACGGAGTAGCTACGCGTGCGCGTCAGCTGCACAGGTCCAGGCACGGGTGCAGAGGGGCTCTGGGAGCTCGAGCGCGTGCGCCGATGCTGTGGTTGCGCTTGTGGTGGGGGCACAGAGTACACCGACGCGCCGGAAGGCGGGTAGTACGGCGTCGGCGTGCGCTGGATGGGGCGCGGGGGCGCGGTCTGCGGCCGCTCCGGAGGCTGAAGACGGACTTGCAATTGGCCGCGTGGTGAGGGTAAAGGCGGCAGGGAGGGTAATGGCGGCGGCGGCGTCCGGCTGCGGTGCCTCCGCCGCCCGTCGCTCGAGCGCGCGCGGTCCCTGTCCCGGTCCCTGCCCTCTCGATCTCGATCTCGATCCCTGCTGTCCCGGTCGCTGGACCGCGTCCGCCTTGACCCGCGCCCGGATGAATCTGGTATTGGCAAAAGAGGCTCCCTCCTCGACGAGCCGTGCGACAGCTTGGACGACTCGCGCGACAGGGGTATATGAGTGGACCCCGCGGGTGTTGGTGGCGTGAATGGATCTTTTTGGGGGACGGTGTGCGTGTCGTGTGCCCAGCGAGCGATACGCGCCTGTGTGGCGAGGTGTTGGCTGTACGCCTCGGGGGAAAAGTCGTATTCCGTCATGGTTTTTCGTCGAAATTAAGGTGTCGGCGAGCGACGACTGAAGGAAGATGAAATGGGGTGCACAGGCCACGTACTCGACCAGTTTTCGCTAGTTCGGCAACCTCGCCCAGGAGTAGACGGAAATTAATCGCGTCTGCCGATGCTTATGCTTCCTGGTCTCCTTCAGGTGAGGTGGCGATACCAATGGGCGATACGACAGTGTTCCCGTGGCTATTCCTACACCCAGTGCAGTAGTCAGTCCAGTAGAAACAAGCCCTATGACCCAGACTGAGAGACCAACGACGAGGCCAGGTGATTGGTGGTGGAGGAAGAGAACAAGGCCATCGTAAATTTATGTTGTGCGCCACGTGTTGACGTCTGCCTCCGCGGGATCAATTCCGTAATTTCCCGATTTGGCACTCTCTGTCTTTCTCTCTATCATCTCGCTTGGCTGTCCGAGTCAATCTGTGTGGGGTTTGTGGGCGTCCTGAGATGGAGGAATCAGGATCCGCCACACTACGAGATGCACTGGGATACTGATCAGTCGGAGACTCGGAGATAGCAAGCGGGTGTCGGGCGAGGACGTGGTGTGTGCGGGGCAGTTTTGACTTCCAGCGTTTCTCGCGCTGTAACGAATTTCTGTTGACTCTCGGGATGACGCGTCTCTCTCTGTGAATCTTCGTCCTTGTTATCTCGTCTAATCTGACTCGTTCTCGCTTACAACGACGGTTGACTCATTGGGTGCACACTGACGACACCGGCCTCGCACACAGCACGCTTCACTTCATTCATATCGGCCCGCTAACCTGACCTCAACCTGCGCATTGATTCATATCACTGCTTTCCTGCCGGCATGACACGCCTATTCCTGCGTGCCTCAGCGTGCCTCCACGCCTATCTATCTATCAGCTAAGCGCCGCTAGGACCCACCAGACCATCCAATCAACGCAGAATCCCATCTTGTATTGCTTTTGCTTGTCGAGCATCTACCTGGCCATGGCTCTGCGCCGTTATGAAACACCAAGTCGGTTTAATTTTATGTCTCCCACACAATGTCAACAGTACATCTCAATGATTGGTGCGGCTATGTCTTCTCAGCGGATCCCAGTCATCCTGTGCGCAGATCCTTCCTTCATTTACCCCAAAGTGCACCGGTCATCACACACGGCTGCCCATGTATATATCTAATCGCCGCCGAATCACCATAGTCCTCCCTCACGAAACATATCCATCATATATCTGCCCGCGTATCGCCCGCCATGATTATTGCTGTCCCGCACCTAACTTGGCTACAAATATACGCATGCCTGCGTCCACTGGTTTGGGATATTCCGTCATGTCTGATTTTTACTCACGTCCGAAAGCAGGGCGGATATTTCATTGAGGCGCTACTTTTGACGGCGTCTAATCTAATCTAGCGAACGTTCATCAAGTCAACTCGACCGATTCTGATATCTACCCAGTCGAAACTCTACTACCTCACGTCGAATCAGAGGTGATAACTCGGATGTGGTGTACGGCGCACACCCGCTGTTCTTATGTCTGCGCTGAAGTCTAAGTGAAGCGGGAAGTCTGGGTTCGATTCCCGGTGTCCGAATGGGATCCGGATTACAAACAGTTTTTTCAGTCTATTCCGTTCCCGATCTGCTCCTTTGATTTCTTTCACTGATTCATCTCGCCTCAGGTTCACGTTTCCTTCATGCGGGAATATTCATCTCACCGACCATCCGGTCCTGTCACCGCAGCCACGCCACATTCGTTTTCGAGTAAGGTACTTGGAAAGTCGGATGTGGTACACGGCGCACGCCCGCTGGTCTTACGAGGACTCCTTGTCTGAAGCGGGAAGCCTGCGTTCAATTCCTGGCGTCCGAATGGGATACGGATTATCCAGATTTTTTTTTAGTCTATTCCGTTCCCGATCTTCTCCCTTGATTATTTTCACTGATTCATCTCGCCTCAGGTTCGCATTCCCTTCACGCGGGAATACTTTATCTCGCAGATCTTCAAACCACGGCGGCTACGCCACATCCGTTTTCAAGTAAGGTATTTCGCCGAGACTGACACACCTATCCAAATGCTCAACAGAGCTGGTAACTCGGATGTGGTGTACGGCGCACACTCGTTACTCTTGAAAGAGTTGGTTGCACCCCAGGTGAAGTGGGAGGTCCGGGTTCAATTCCCGGCGTCCGAATTGCAGCGATGAGAATAAGTCTTTTTGCTTAATTCACTTCCTCTTGCCCCACATATTGCAATTCCTTTACGCCGGGGCATATTACACGAATTTACGACCACGGCATCTCGAACAGTCTCCGGACCTGGCTTCTCGACCCCAAAACTGGCTGCTAATCATGCCTGGCAACACGGATGTGGTGTACGATGCACACTCGTTACTCTTGAAACAGTGGGTTGGTTCAAGCGGGAAGACCGGGTTCAATTCCCGGCATCCGAATGATTGAGTAGGACTGTCAAAGCTTTTATTCATTCTCCGTTTGGACTTGTATTTCTGATTCATGTTCCTGTCCCAGGGATTTTTAGGAATCACCTTTTTTTTGTTCCCGCTCTTCTCCCTTATTTTTTATCGCCGATTCTATCTTCTGCAGGTCCGTATTTTATTCAAATAGTTTCATGGATACATATCATCTTTCAGCCACGAATATTAATGACCTTGCGGATTCGAGCGCCCGCCTCATGTACGCCCCCGAATTCAGACTCCGACACTTTCTGCATCTTAAAATGGAAAGAGAGTAATTCGCGGTGCTGCGTGGACACCCGCGGTCCCTGAATCCGACAATTATGAATTAATGCTCGTTTCCCTCCACCGGCATCCTTCGCCCCATTTACTGCCGGCTCTCCTGCCGACTGCACACGAACTCTAGTACGCTGAGACAGTGGGTTCATCCCCGTCAGTAACGTTCCTTGCCCTCGCACCACCATGCCGGGTATTCACCTCTTCACTGTCGATCTACTCCGTGACATAGGAGCACAGAGTAGAGGTCTGCATCGGCGACAATCAGTTGAAAACAGGTTACTGGGAAGATAATACTCCTTTCTCGGCCTTCCAGCCGGTAATATTGGCCATAGCCGAACTACCAGGGAACCCCTGGGAAATTTGCAGTCATTGCGAGTACATTTCATTATTACTGCAAACGGGATCTGTAGGTGTGAAGAGGCGCGCATACTGTAACGGGTCACAGTGACAAGGAAAGGAAATTCGGATGAGCCGTTTATAGCCGAAAGCATTGTTCAAATATTATCCTGTCTTCGGTAGAGTTCAGAATGCAGGCAAAATAAATTGAATGACGTGTGAGAGCATGACGCCACTGTGCAGCGGCGACTGACAGAAGGGCGGTCTGCGAGAGAACAGCGGTGATTTGATGACATTGAAATGTTCAACGATCCAACAATGCTTCCAGGGCCTCCAGAGTGCAGCATAGAAGCAGAAAGGAAAGATTTCTACGGCCTGAAGAGTAGAGAAGAGCCCAACGGGATGGTGGTGGAGGAACGAGTTCAACTCCCAATCCGATTGAATCCGGGTCCTCAAGTTCGGACAAGGCCCTTGCTGATCTCAGAGTCGCACATCTCTCACACGCACACCGCATTCACCTGTGCACACTGTTCGTGTCCAGTTTTCACTCGCTTTACCGGGCTGAGAACTAAACCATCAAATTTATCGGATTCATGAAAGCATCTGTCTAAATATTTCGTCTTGCGGAGTCCTACGTTCAGAGCGGGCCAACTGCATCCATTCAACATAAATCAGTGGTGATCATAGGCCCCGAAAGGAAGACTGAACTCACGGTAGTCATGGACGAGGCGCGCGTGGAGAGTGTCTCCCTCGACGTACTTCATGCGCTGGACGTGGAGTCGTATAGAGCTTCGTCACTACGTAGGATGTGCAAGTTCGTAGTTTGATGGATGATCTTCGTAGTTTGATGGCGCAAGCTCGTCGCAAGCAGCCAAGCGAGGGCAAGTTCGTCAGAACTCGTCGGAACGCATCAAGGGCATGCAAGTTCGTTGTAAGCCCTAATTCGTCGAGGTATCTGATGCATGCCGACATTCTGGTTGATGCGCCGACTGCTCTTCTTCACCATCATCTAGCCCCGCCGCCCGCTTTTTGGCAGTCTTCGCGGTGTGGTTCCCGCTGCCATCGGCTCCACGCCAGGCTTAGATACTAATATCTCCTGTTTTGACGGACGGCAAATGGATGGCTCCTTCTTTTTCTGGGAGAACACGGGACAAGAACTTTATCTACACAGAGGTCTGTTTGATTATTAACTGTGTGTCGGGTTCGGTTCAAGACAACGCCTTGGACCACTGCTACGTTCTCGGGTACGTTCTCGTGCCTCGGCCTTTAATTTTCGGGCTGACCTGCATCTAGGTACAATTGGATTACCTCCGGAACATCAAAACCCCGCCGAGGTTACTGATGTCGTGTTTTGTGAGCCTGGATTGAAGTCCTATTTATTATCCATCGTAGGACCTCGATTCGAGACGCCGAGAGTCGAAGTATGGCACCATGATTTCCTTTATTGACAACACAGGCCATGCCTGGATCTTGATTGGGTCTTGATTTGGTACGTCTCCCACTTCTTGTGTGAAGCTTGTTCATTGACTGACTCTAATTCCGATTCCGAACCATTGCTGCGCCTTTTCGAAGCCATTCAGAGTTACTACCACGATAGTTCGAGCAGGCAAAGCGGGAAGCATAGTGTCTGGACTTGAGGTGTGTATGTCTGCTTGACCTGCGAGTGACCGACATAGGTCATAGAACACAACCTTCAACATTATCCCAACCTTCAACAGTTCAAGTCGTGCCTTGGCTCGTTGCTTTGACTTGGTTAAACCGTTGGTTGATTTACTAAATTGTTCAGAATTCTCAGGTGCATTCGACTGAGACTTCTGTCTGTATTCCAGATCACCGAAACGATGCCGAAGGCGCGTTCCCTTCATTTGATCTGCGTTGACTCGATTCTGGACTGACTGACTGACTTGGATTGGGGATCTATTGAGATTTATTGGTCTGAAACTCACAACTGGCGTGTATATTGGCCGCTACCTTCGTATCGTCGTGACAGAGGGAGCTCACTCCGTGCTACGACGACAATTGAACCGTGGGAACAACAATAAATGTATGTACGATGATGCGCCAGAGGAGGAGACACCTGGTTTTACTGCTACTGTGGTAGTACAGATGGCAAAATTTACATATTAATGCAGGCATTTCCAAGACAGAAAGGGAGGGTTTGGCGAACACAGGTCGGTGGCAATGGTCGGGATAGGCGAGACGAATGCCTCTGCTCCTCAGTCTCTCATCTGACGACCTTGCACGTTGGACATGCCAAATATGGCATCCGACGAGCTTGCGCTTGAACCGACGAACTTACATATCATTTTCCGAAGCCCTGACATCCTACGTAGTGACGAAGTATGTGAGGGCTCCTGGACGTGGTGCCGAGCACCGTTAATTTGTTCGACACCCCAAACCTACGCGGAAGGAAATAGGTGCACGATTCAATTTTTAGCAAACGGAACGTACCTGAGTCAAAGTCCACTCTGCGGATCATCATACATCTTTCCCAAAAAAATATTTGAAGCGGGGAGTCTGGGTTCGATTCCTGGCGTCCGAATATTGTTGTTCTGTTGCATTTTTTGAATTCTGTTTTCTTTCTATTCATTGTTCCCGACTTGATTGATTTATCTTGCCGAGCTTCTTTGTCTGTCCTTTATGAAGCAGGGAGCCTGGGTTCGACTCCCAGCGTCTGAATAAGCGCGCTTCTGTCTTCTTTCTTTTTTTCGTATCCGTATTTCCCCGGCCGTTGCCATTTAAATTCCCGGAATCTGTCTAAATTCCTACACCAATATTCCGCTGAAACGCAACCCCATAACGAGGTTCAATTGGATGTGCTGCACGGCGTACACCCCCTACCAGTTCGTTCGTGAGTATGCATGTATATATGCAGGATGGAGCTCTGGGTTCGATCGACTGGCTTCGCAGATGTCGATTTTTTTTCGCATCCGCATTCCCCCGGCCTTCAATGATATCCAAAGTCCCGGAAGGAAGAGTCGCCCTGTGAGATGTCCTCCAATATTCCGCTGAAATGCACCCAGATAACGAGCTTCAAATGAACGATATCAATCAGATGTGGTGCACGGTGCACTCCCGTTACCCATTGAGAGTCTTTACAAGACGGGAGTTCTGGGTTCGACTCCCAGCATCCGGATATATGCTTGAGAACGTTGTCTCTTTCTTTTCTTTTGTTTCTTGTTTCGTTTTCTTGCCCCGCAGTTGCGATGAACTTGGTCCACGAGAGTGTCAAGGTCAGCCGTGTCCTTGGAAAACCTGCTTGACCGGTCAGTGCATCCAGAATCAATAGTCGGCTTCTCAATTGAAAACGGATGTTGGAATTGAATGTCTCACAGGGCGGCTTGAGATTTGATAGCGGTAATACTTCCCATCAGCAATCGTTTTCAGTTGAAAACTTGCCAGATTGAACTGGATGAAGTTGAGAGCCCGAGAGCCAAACACGCCGTCCGACAGCTACATCCAATGCGACGCGTTTACATGACGTGTTCGAATTGATTTTATTTCATCCAGTC